GCCGGAGGAGGCGGGGGAGGGAGCAGGGCCGTCTGGTGGCAGCGTCATCATCGGCGGCGGCGGCGCAGGGGGCGCGGCGGCGGCGCGGGGCCTGCACCCGCACCGGGCGCGCGTCGCGGCGGCGGCGGCGGCGCGGGCGGAGCTGATGTCGTCGGTCGTGGACGCGAGGGTGGTCTGCGGCTGGCTGGTGGCTGCGAGGGCGGAGGACGTCTTGTTGATCGACGTCAGGTAGGGGGCCTGGCAACAATTTGCTGGCCAGCAGCTTGGTGCACCGCACGGGCGCCTCGGTCGCGCGTGCATGTCCAGGGTCTGCCCTTCACGCCGTGCGATTTGTCGCTGGCCGCGGCGAGGGGGCCCGCACCCTGAACACGCGCCCCTAACACGCTGCGGCACGTGGCGCGGCGGCCCTCGGTCAGGCGGGCGTGCGTCCTCGACGCTGCCGCGTTCCAACCCGATGGCTGCAGTGAGACGTCAACCCAACGTTATCCCAAGCTGTTCTCGCCCCAATTGGGTGCCGCCTGGACTCAATCGTCGCTGCTCTCTCTCACTGCTTGTGGACCCAACACGCCGCCAACTGCAGGGGTCGCGCCGGCGGCACCCAGCACGTGGTCCTGGCGACCGGCGCCAGCCAGCGCCATGCGCACGCGTGCGCCGAGGCGGTGCGGTGGCAGCTACTTGAGAAGGCACGCGCCGAGCTGCGGCGGCGCCAGCAGCAGCAACAGCCAGACGGCGATGCCCCGCGGCGGGCGGCGGGCGCGGGGCTGGGCGCAGAGTGGGGGGACCGCCTCCTGCCGGCGCTGCGCGTGGCGGGCGGCGCGGCGTCGGACTGGGTTGCGCTCGAGGCCGGGACTGTGGTAGTCCACGTCTTCACCGAGAGGGCGCGGGCCTACTACGATATTGAGGGCCTTTGGGGGGCGCCGGGCCGCGTGCTGGCGGTGCGGCCGGGCGCTGCGGCGGGCCGGGTGATGACTAAGGACACGATCCGGTGACGCGCGGGCCCGTCGTCGTCGTCGTCAGGGGTGGGTGGCGATAAAACAATATTTGGGCGTCCATGCGTAGGTTTGGAGTTCAGTTCTGCAGCGCCTGCATCCGTCCCTTTGTACATGCCTGATAGTTTGGGGATGTTCACACCCCACTTTGCTTCTGCTTTGGCATCGTCACCTGCAGTTCAGTTTGCTCCTCCAACAAACAGCAGACATGGCACAACGCAATCGACTCGCTAGCGCCCCAGCCCTGATGAGTGATGGCTGACGACGCAGTGGGCAAATTTTGTAAGGTTTTTATGGCTGTGACCGCGGCCCTGCAGCCGGTGCCCGCGTGCTTGCATGCAAGGAGGAGTGCCAGTCCGCTGGTCACAGCTCTCTATCAAGCAGGCCTATGGAGCGGGAGCTGCACCGCACCAGCCCGGCTGCCACAGGCCCCAACACCCACGCCTGCGCCCCCCCGGGCGTGCTGCGTGTTGCAGCCGATCCTGCGCTGGCCGCTGCTGCTGCCTGCACCCATAGGCCTGCCGCCCCACTGCCCTTGCAGCTGCTCTGCAGCTGCACCAGGTGCCGTGCCTGGCGTCGTCGCTTGCAACGGGGCCCTCGCCAACGCACGGGCTGCAACTCAGCCGGCAGGTCCGGCGTGCGTGCTGGCGCCGCCGCTGCCTGGATTTGCGCCGCATTTACAGGGTAGAGTGCAGACTTGGCTTGTGAATAGCGGGTCAACATATAGTGAATCGAGGGGTGGATGATGCACAGGCGTTTCCAAACTCCTGTGGCACTGCCTGGTGCCGCATACTGGAGGGGATAAGCCCTTTCAAGGTAGTGCACCAAAGCACCCGCTGCTTGCGCTTGTGTGTGCAGCAACCGTTCACGGGCATTCAAAAACAAACAAACCCAGCATAACAGGCCCACAGAAGGGAACAGCACAATCTTAAAATCGCGGCTCCGCAAGTTCAGGACTAACTGCGCATGCCGGACGGGCGCTCCTCGACAAAACCCTAGGAGTGGTGCACGCTCAGGGTGCTACTGCCCTGTCAGTCACTGACAAGTAAGGCCGTCATTCTGAGATATGGCATCTCAGAATTGAGGCACAAGGTCCTTCGCGGGTGGCGATGAAGCCAATTGCTATCATCCATGTGTTCACTGATAGCTTGGAACAAGCACATGAAGACCTGCTGCAAGGTAACACAACAGGAGCTCTGTGCACACGTGTGTTTGTGCGGCGCAAGAAAGGAACACTTGGGCTGTATGCCCTGGTGTGTGAATGGCATCTTGTTGGCGCTCATCCCATCTTTACACGCTGCCGGAATGCCGTGGCGCCGTGAGGGGCGGTCATTGCCGGTGTTGGGACGGCGGTCAGCATCTGGTCGTGGCCATCGGTGCTTCTGGCCCTGCTCGCGCAGCATCTGTTGCTCTGGTGGTTTGTTGGGTTCAGCCACGTCATCTCCGCAGGACCCCATAGCAAGAAGAGGCATGTGTAGACCTTTGAATGCCTTGTATGGCTTTGTATTTGTTGTACATACGTAGCCCGTGCAGCAATGCCGTATACCGTACTGTGGAGCAGAAGCTGCTGAATTACAGCGAGTCCAAGGATGCCTCTTTCATGGTCACTATCTGAGCCGGCGCGCCACTCACGTTCCTCAACAAGCCTTTGGATGACGCTCCGCTTCACCATTCGTTTGAGGCGCGCCTGTTCGTTTAGCGCGCAGATCTCGCGTCATTCGTAGGGCCCGTATCAGGCGAGACAGGGTTCCAAAAGGTGCGAGTAGTTTCTACACACCAAGCAGAGCTTTCTGCGTGGCGCGAGGGAGACCGTTGGCGTGGAGCTGGGTGGGCAAACTGGGCGCAGCAGCGGCACCTGCCACGCGCGCTTTGCCCAGCCATCCACGTGGCCGACGCGCGAACCCTGCTCTTGCACCACCGCACCGCAGGCCGCGCCGCCTTGCCTGAGACCCCCCTGGCCGGGGGCGGGCCCTGGGAGACCAGCTCAGCTGCGGGGCGCGTGGCGATGGCCGACGCAGAGCCTGCCGAATGCCCGATGTGTGGGGAGATGGCCGTGCCAGACGGCGGCGGCAGCGTGTCGCGCGCCCCCTGCAACATGGGATGCGACTATCTCTACCACACCACCTGCATCGAGGCGCGTGCATGCAGTCGCGTGCCTGCGTGCCTGCGCACGCGCGGGGTTTGCCCGTCGTCGGCCCTTGAAACGAGAGCCCGACCCCCGCTGCCGCGGGCGACATGGGCGGAGCTTCTCCTTGGCCCCTGTCACCAAAGCGCCCCGCTCCGCGCCCATCGACATCCCTTCCGGCGTTACACCAGTTGCGATTGTCGCACCCCAAGTCGTGGCGTGCTCGCAGCTGACAGCTCTGCACCCCACTCCTCCCACAATCCAACCCGCCCATCGGGCCGAAATCAGGCTTACACCAAGCCCCTGACCCGCGGCCCGAAGATCCGCACAAAGGGCGCTTTTGCATGCCCCATCGGTTCCCATACCACCGCCCTGCAGCGCCCGGTGCCATGCCGGGGGAAGGTGAGCAGGCGCGCCGCCACCGCCGTACCATCGATCTGCACCCAAGGCTCAGCCAACCTCCAGCCCTGGGCAGGAAAAAATTCACTGCACGGCCCACGCGCATTGTGTGGCCGCCTGCCCTCCACCCCCTGTCTGCTGTAAGACTCCGTCTAAACTGGTAGTCATCTCAGGCTCATACCCGCGGCCTGCCTGACCAGCCACGCCCGCATGGCACCCCCGCCCCCAAATGCCTTCCTGCCTTGCTCTGCCACCTGCCCTCTCAGTGCTGGCAGGTCAGAAGCATCCATGGTGAGCGCCTGCTTTCAAATTGAAAGTCGATTACATGCTCGCCGGGCGGGCGGCCGACCTGACAGTCTGCATGGGAGACGGGTGTTCAGACAGGACATGCATTGAGTCCCCTGCTTGAAGCATGTGCCACACCAGACATTAACAGGCTCAAACACACCTCGCCCTCCGGCTGCTGCCCTGCCCTTCCCATCTCTCAACCCTCCGACCGCAGTCAAAGATGAGACAAAGAAGATGAAAAAGGTGCGCCGCCACCACGCGGGGCGCTGTCGCGTGGGGGCAAGCTCCCGAGGGTCAGGGATTTTGGGGACTCTGCCTTTCACTGTTTGGGGCAAGACGTCGATTGCGGCGCGCCTTGCTCAGTTGGGTGAGGGGAAATGCCTAGTGGGCAGCGCATATTGGATGCAGGGTTGGTTGGTTACAACATGCCGGCAATATGTGGGCGCCCCCCCCCCCAAAATGTTAACCACGTAAACCACGGCCACCCACTCAAATGCAGATAAAAGCAATCCTGGAATCTTCGCAGCCCGAGAGGCAGGCACGGCCCAAGAAGCCGCCGGACGGCGCCCGCCCGCAGCAGCAGCAGCAGCCGCAGGGCCGGCACCCGCTACCCGACGACGGCTGGCAGGTGGCGGGTGACGCCAAGGGGAAGTCCAAGGGACGGCCCCAGCAGTCGGACCAGCCACTGACGCCGGCAGCGCGGCGG